AGGCTTTTCATCCAAACTGATGCCTTTGGATTCTTCTGCTGTCCCCCAGCCTGTCCGAGGGCCACCWGCCTGGCAGGTGGCACCAGTGGGAACCTGACCTTCAGCCTGACCTCTGCCAGCTCCTCCACCCTGAGCCCACCCAGGGCAGGTTTGCCCCTCATCCAGTGCCCACCTCAGACCTGTGGGACACAACACTGAACCCCTCCCTGCCACTGACGGGCACCAGGGGATTGGGAAGCCCCAGGCTGGCTTCCATCCCCAGGAAAATGGGATGGAGACTCCATTCTTGTTCTTGAAATGAAAGAAAAGGCTCCATTTCCATGTCCCCTAGCCCCAAATCTCAGCAGCCTCACTCCAGCACAGCACTAACGAGCAGGCAGGGAAGCAGGATGACATACCTCCCCAAACTCCCAGCATGGAGATTCTCCAGCAGGACAGGAGTGTGGGTTAACTGCTCACAGCCCCCTGCTCTGGTGCAACACTCCTAAATGAATCCCATACACGGGGAAAAGACCCGAAATATCGCTGAGCCAGAGGATTTGGGCTGTGGGGACAGAATTCCACCTCCACTGGAGGTGAACCTGCACTAAGARAGCCAACAGCTGCAGCTGCAGGTGCTGCAAATCCCCTTCCCAGCGGCTCCGGGACCAGGCAGGAGAGGGAGGAGGAGGAAGGCGGAGGCGGCTCCGGGAAAAGGGCTCACGTGGGCACCACACAACCTTATCAGCTCCTGGCAGCAGCGAGATGGAGGAGGAACAAAGCTGCTCCCAGATAACCAGGGAGATAAGGAGCAGGGAGAACAATGCCAGGGGAGCTCTYCCTGCTCAGCACATCTCAGAAGCTGCAAGGTTGGAGCAACCCCCAAAGTCATTTATGCTACAGACACCATTATTTGTTTGTCAGGTTTTGGCTGAACTCTTGTCCAAATTRWGTATCTSTGACATTTCMTGCTMTTCCAGGGCTGCAGGGWGGGAAYAGGCTGCCCAGAAGGGCAGAGGAATTAAAACAAGAAGGCCAAAGCTTTATGAAAGATCAGATTTATTGGTCAGACAGAACRGCTTTGCCCCTTGCACTTTTTGTGTATCCATCACAGGGAGAAAGGTAACTTCAAAACCCATAATGTGAAATTTCAGCTTAGGGGTCATGGAAAACAAACCACAGAAAAAAGAGCTGTGAAATGCAGCTCTCTGCAGGGCTGCTCAGTGAGTGGACAGGGGTGCAGTGCCAGCCCAGCCCCTCTGCTGCAGGTTTGGGCACATTCCTGCACCCTCCTCAGCCCTTCACATTGACCCATTAACCGGGGAAAAGGTGCTGAGTTAAAACTTAACCTCAATTCAAACGGAACTGACACAGCTTTGGTTTGCACCAGTAAGTTTTACAAGRGCAAATCACAATAAAATTGTTTCAAATCAGTAAAACAGATCCGTGCAGGGCTGGAGCTCTTGTTCCCCAAACTGGTTTTACCTGTCAGTGCTACCTGGGTTTCAGGTAAGGCCTCACTCCTCATTTCCACCTGAATATTCCTTTCCCTTCTCCTGGGGGAGCTTTGGTGCTCAGTACCCAGACAGGGGGACTGTGGACACTTCACCCCTCCTGTTCCACGATCAATTCCCAGCTTGGAAACAAGGACAGAGTTGGAAATTTAAATCCCAAACACCTGGAGAACCCTACAGGTGCTGTGGAAGGACATGATCCAGCAAAGAACACACCTGCCAACCCGAGACAGCCCTTTGTCCCAGTGAACAGGGCTCAGCTCACCTTAAAAGGGTCAGGAACCACAGACATTTTTACATTGTACATTTACAATTAGAAAACATTCCATCCAGGATTTTAGAGAATTAAAAAAATAATTTATTCTAAAATAATTTTGATGTGTGTGCAGCCTGCTGAGCTCCCAAGCATCCAGCCTGGCCTAGGGAACCTTTCCCTCCCTCTCCATCCCGATCCCTCTCCCAGCCACCATCACCTTCGGTGCATGGTCTTGTTGTCCTGTTCTTAAATTCCAAAGCTCTTCAAAGAAAACAACAACGAGCAGCTCATTACCAGGAAAGATATTTCAAACATGTGGCACAGCACATGTTTTCTCCAAGCCCTGGGTGATTTTTTTCCCTCTTGGGTTAGGCAAGAACTCCTCAGAGCGCTCCCTTCAGTGTCCCACTCTGGCTTCCTGGCCAAGCTGGGCCCTGCAGCATCTTTCCCACAAGCAGCAGGAATATTTTTGTTCACCCTGCAGTGCTCCCTCACCCTCCTCAGCCTCTCACTCCACCAGACCAGACCTCTGGCTGTGTCCAGAGCACCCCATCCCAGCGAGATGCTCCAGGGCAGCCACGCTCTGCTTGGGTTCACATCCCCGGGGCTTTGGCAAATCCTGCAGCCAACACCAGCTCCTTTGGGTGCTTGTCCCACATGGATTTCCCCCTGCCTGTGACCCTGACTGGCCCCCAGGAGCTGAGGAATCCCCTAAATGTTGTCATAGGGCACTGCCAGGCCGATGTTGTAGTTGTACCCTGTCACCTCGTCGTAGGAGGAGCGGCAGATGGGCAGGACGCTGTCCACAGCCAGCTGGTCCACGGAGAAGTCGTAGGAATAAATGATCCCTCTGTACCTGCATGGAAAACAGCCAGGACACACCATTTCACCTCAGTGGAGAAACAAACAGGTGGAGATCACTATAAAAATCACCCAAATTGAAAAATGTGATGCTGCAGGAGCTGGTTAAAAACCCCCATCCCCAAGCCCCCATCCCTTCTGCAGGAGGCTGAGCAGCTCCAACAGGAAAAACTCCCTGGTGCCTCCTCGCAGGGAGCCAGGCAGCGCTGGGAAGGGCTGGTGAATCACTGCCTCCAGCCCTGCAGAGCCGTGACTGTCATCTGCTGAAACATCTCCAGCCTCTCCAGCACGGGGGAAGATAAATACGCTGGTATTTGATAGTTCAATTAGGCACTAACAGCCGTTTGAGATGCAAATACCAAAACCTGCAGTTTAAATGCCAGTAGTTTTCCTTTAGGAGGAGAGATGGAAAGGGCTGCATTCTCTGCTTGGCTTCAGTGGACTTTATGTTCCCCTGCTGAGAAAGAAATGCATTTTTTTGGTGCTCAAGYGAATCAAGAGCCAATTTATCGCTTGTTTTGTGAACCTTACCCTGAAACTTTTATTTTCATTTTATTTTTCAGCTGCTCCACCCCCTCTGTGGGTGCTCTGGGTGCTGACTCAGGTGCTCAGGGTGCTGTTTGAAACTCGRAGCAGATTGCTGAGGGCTGGTTACTCACTTGCGGTGCACGCTGGGGTCGTCGTCRGTGATGCTGGAGCCGCGGGGGTTCTTCTCCTCGGGGATGTTGGCGGTGATCAGGCTGTGGGAATTGAACCACACGTGCCGGACTGGATGTCTGCAAAACAACCCAGAGCGCGGGGTGAGGGACTCCCCAAATTCTGGGAATGGGAATGGCTTTGGATTAAACRGGGAGTCACTGGAATCAGCGCTCTCCCTCCGGCCAGCGGCTGGGAAGCGGCACCGCTGGCTCGCCCGGCCGAGAGCACATCCCGCATCTTCTATCCCCATCTAGTGGGCTCTTCCCAGAACGCACGGGCGGGCCAGGAAACCTGGGGGAAAGCTGAGAGGGATGATGGATGCATGGACGGACGGACGGACGGACGGACGGACGGACGGACGGATGGATGGATGGATGGATGGATGGATGATGGATGGACACAGGGATGGAGGGAGGGATGGAGGGAGGGATGGATGGATGGATGGATGGATGGATGGATGGATGGATGGATGGATGGATGGATGGATGGATGGATGGATGCGGGCTGGGCTGGCTGCTTTCTGCCCTAAGGACTGTAGTGCTCCTGGGAAAGGCAGGAAGAGGAAAATGAAAGGGAAGGACATTCCCAATGGAAGGGGAAGGACACCCCACACATCCGTGCACTGAGCTGGGTTAGAAATGCACTGCAAGGCACAGGGTAAGGATACTGAAGTGGGAAGGGACCCACAGGGATCATGGATCCAGTTCCTGGCCCTGTCCAGACCCCCCAACAATCCCCTCCTGTGCATCTCCTGGAGCTCTGGCAGCCTCGGGGCCGGGACCATTCCCTGGGGAGCCTGGGCAGTGCCAGCACCCTCTGGGGACAGAAGAGCCTTACCCTAAAATCCATCCTAAACCTCCCTGGCCCAGCTCCAGCCATTCCCTGGGTGCTGTCCCTGTCCCAGGGAGCAGAGATTGGAGCTGCAAACCCCAGCGAGCTCTGACCTCAGGCTCCTCTCCTCCAGCTGAACATTCCCAGTGCCCTCAGCTGCTCCTCCAGACCCTTCCCCATCCCTGTGTCCCTCTTTTGGACACTGAAATCAGGCTTTCACCCCTTTCCCTCACCATGGTGAATTAATAACCCCAAGCCCCAGTGTCAGAGACCAGTCTGATTCTTATTTATGCCTCAACATATGTTCCACGAGGTAAAAGATGGCTTCCAGGAGTAGTGCGCTCGCTGGGAGCTCTGTCCCTCAGGAGGTTTTGCCTGGCAGCCAGTCATGGCACAGACAGCTTCCCCCACTGCTCTGCAAGCGCCCTGCCCCCCTTGCTAGTGAGGTAGATGCCCGGATGCCCGGGAAAACAGCGCGCAGAAAAAACGCGCGGGAAATCACGCTATGGGC